GTCGTGGCCCCCCCCCCCCCCCCTTTCTGGATCCGCCCCTGTTTATTTTGAATAGTTAAGTACCGGTATATGCAGGCTTTCTAAATTGTCTTAAGCTATGGATGTGACAAATAAAGGTTATGCCAGCATGGGGTAACATCATCGTGCACAAAATTTTCATATAAAATTCGGTAGTGTGGACAGAGCTCTATTATTATGTTGACAAAACGAATGTGACCTTAACCAGGGTACAAAGAGAATGTTCGTATTTTACTCAAATCCGCTGTGTAGCATTTTGAGCGTGTGTGTGTGTCGACGACATCGATCAGGTCACACGAACCGGTGTCTACGTGCGTGCCATTCTCACCGGGAGGGCTTAGAGAGCTCTGGAAAAATCACTGATTATTTGATTTTTTATACAATATATGGCGATTATAGCTTGATCTCCAACCAGAGTTTCTTCTCAGGAAGCTGGTGGGAGAATTTTAAGTATTAAAAACAGGTAAGTTATCACAAATGTATTGTTGCATCTATACGTACCGGTCGATATGTATGGACGGGGTGAATTTGTAGCTGGCTGCTGGCCGTCGATACACAGTACAAAGTGTGCTTCCGTGCTTTACCAATTATTGTTGAGAAGGAACATGATTCAGACAATAACTTTCGATTGTCAGCTGCTCACTTTGCTGTCTCTTGTCCATGTTTTATCCATTTTGGTCTTACCTTACAGACTACATTATTACATAATTGCAGACTCGGTTTAATGAGAATCGCATAATCCTAGAGGCCAAGGCCGAAAAAGTTTTATTTTATGAATCCTTTAATTTGAAATCACTAGCTACTGTAGGCCTAGGCCTTTTGAACTCTAGGTAGGGCAGGTCCAAGTAGTTTACCAAAGAAGGGGAATCAATGTTGGCTGGGATATCCAAAGTATTCTTAACATATGAATAATCATTTTCATATTCTTCATTGGAACTACCTTTTTTGTAAGAATCACCTTTTAATTAATAATCAGCCTGAACTAATTTGATCATATTGTACTTTCAATATTGTCATTAATTATTATTATTATTATTATTATTATTTTATTACTATTATTATTATTGGTGTTATTACCATCATCATCATTGTTAATGTTAAAAATATTGCTATGTAATTGTATGCTTTTTTTTTTGCTGACCCCGACACATGCTTGTTGGGATTTCCCATGGAAGTGATATTTTTTGCCATTGGATTCCTCAAAGCGAGCATGTGGCTTTTCCTCCGTTCCTGATTTTTTTTAGTTGTGCTTCTGTACTTTTCCGGAATAAATAAATGAAATGAAACTAGGATAGCCCATTGTTCTGTAGTAATATACTGTAGTCTGCATTAAATGAAAAAAAAACTCAAAGACTGATCAAATAATTTGTTCATTTTTTTTTTTTTTTTTGGGTGCCCTTTTGTTTTTTACTTTTTTTTTAATGCCTTTTATTTCTTTTTAGTTTTATTATAAATGTCATTTTCTTTGTCATTTGTGTTGCCGAAATTAATAAGATAAAAATAAAAATAAAATAAAATAAATCATTCCATTTTTAGCATATAAATTTGGTTTATAGTAGAATTTTCTTTATGATTTTTTTTATATTTTTCTTAATGATTTATTGATTGTAAAGTTACTGTACAACTGTAACTAGATTCAAAATAAACATTTCAATCAACCATTTAGTAAAATACGGAAAAACAATACGTTTTTATTCACTAGGTGAAATGAAATCCGAAAATAAAATTGCAAGTAACAACTGAATGTGGTTTAACGTACAGTTATATTATTTTTGTGTTTTGGTTTTATTCTAGGTGCAGCACCTAGCAGTTTGATCCCTTCGGTGGTATTATTTCATTTCCATTCATCTTACATCAGGTAGTGTAAACTTGTGGTTTTTAATTCTTTATTTTAACTATTTTGTAGAAGTATTGAATATATCATATGTCAGATTTTCAGAAACCCTGGATACTGTAATGTATTACTATATAATTATGCTATAAAAATTGTTCAATGCATTGTCACTTATTTTTGTTCAAGAATTCAATTTTGGGACAGAGCCGTAATTTTTCTTAATGCAACCAAGTGATTGACAAAAACTTGTAGTAGGGGCATATCTCTTCCAGAATCAAAAGGGCCATAAGAGTAAAAGGCGAATATGACATTAAAATTTGCATAAATTTTTATTTTGGTGGGAGCTGGAGTGAAGCTACCATTCTTCTATATGACCTCTTGCATCAATGTACAATTATAATTCAACCAATTTTAAAATGTTCATTTTCAAGTAATTGATGTAGGAAATGTTTTCTAATTTTCACTTCTTTATTGATCCAGTCTGAAAAATTCTTACTTACAATATTTAATAATTGAAATTGGAAAAATGGGAAATGATAAGACCGATAATTACAAATAGGAAATTCTAATTTTCTTTGTCCTGTTTTAAGTACAGGAAAGAGTGTGAATAGTTAAATGTGTATGTACTGTATTCTAGTATCCCAGTATGTACATAGATATTTTTAAGTCTAAAATGTTGTTTGTTTTACAGAAAATTAATTAAAGATGTTCCGATTTCTGCAAACTGCATGCTACGTGGATGGCACAGCAACATCACATATGCGCAAGGCTGTCATTGGTCAGCGGCGAAGATTCACTACCACGTTCAAAAAGAATTCTTCTCAGGGAGATGCTGCTCCTCCTCCAAAAGGAATTCCCTGTGAAAATTTGACCATTGGAGTTCCTAAAGAATCCTTTGCAAAGGAAGCTAGAGTGGCAATGTCTCCTGCTGCTGTAAAGATACTTAACAAAGAGGGGTACAATGTTGTTATAGAAGAGAATGCTGGAGCTCTTGCAAACTTTACCAATAAGGACTATGAGGCAGCTGGTGCAACAATCAAAGGAAAACAAGATGCCTTTCAGTCAGATATTGTTTTAAAGGTTCGATTACCAACAATAGAAGAAGCAGGTTTTTTCAAGGAGAAGGGCAACCTTATAAGCTTTGTATACCCAGCACAAAATAAGGAGATCCTGAAAAAGTTATCAGAAAAAAAACTGACAGTATTAGCAATGGACTGTGTACCTAGAATCAGTAGAGCTCAGGTTTTTGATGCTTTAAGTTCAATGGCAAATATAGCGGGGTACAAAGCAGTTATTGAAGCTGCTAATAATTTTGGGCGTTTCTTCACCGGCCAAATAACAGCTGCTGGCAAAGTCCCTCCTGCCAAAGTTTTGGTCATTGGTGGAGGAGTAGCAGGACTTGCTGCAATTGGAGCTGCAAAGAGCATGGGAGCTATTGTCAGGGGTTTCGATACAAGAGCTGCAGTGAGGGAACAGGTACAGTCTCTTGGAGCAGAGTTCCTTGAAGTGCAAATTGAAGAATCCGGAGAAGGGACAGGAGGTTATGCCAAAGAGATGTCACCAGAGTTCATTAAAGCTGAGATGGAATTGTTTGCTAAGCAGTGCAAAGAGATTGATATTCTAATCTCAACTGCCCTTATCCCTGGTAAACCAGCACCAAAACTAATCTCCCGTGAAATGATTGAATCTATGCATGAAGGTTCTGTTGTTGTGGATCTTGCTGCAGAAATGGGAGGTAATATTGAAACAACCAAACCCAATGAGCTCTACAAGTATAAAGGAGTGACACACATTGGATATACAGATCTTCCAAGCAGACTACCAACACAAGCAAGTACATTATATGCTAACAACATCTCTAAGTTATTAGTGTCTCTTGGCCCAAAGGGTCACTTTTACCTTGATCATGAAGATGAAGTTACCAGAGGATCTCTTGTACTTCAAGATGGACAAATGATGTGGCCACCTCCAGCACCAAAAGAAGAGGCTGTTCCTCAAGCTGCTCCAAAAGCTGTAGCCAAGGTAGAACCTCCACCTCCAAATCCTTTTGTTGACACCGCAAAAACTGCTGGTGTCTATACTGCTGGTTTAGCTTCTATTATTGGCCTTGGTACAGTATCTCCTGGACCAGCATTCAACACTATGGTAACCATTTTTGGCTTATCTGGCATTGTTGGCTATCATACTGTATGGGGTGTTACTCCTGCCCTTCATTCTCCTCTGATGTCTGTAACAAATGCAATATCTGGAATAACTGCAGTTGGAGGACTCCTGTGTATGAATGGTGGTTACTTACCTAACTCTACAGCAGGATCTCTTGCTGCAGCTGCTACATTTATCTCATCCATTAACATTTTTGGTGGTTTTCTTGTAACCCAGAGAATGTTGGATATGTTCCGCCGTCCTACTGATCCTCCAGAGTATAACTACTTGTACACTGTTCCTGGCCTAGCAGCCATGGGTGCATATGCTGCTGGACATTTGAGCGGTTATGATGTCCAGCAGATGGGTTACCTTGCAGCATCATTATGTTGTGTTGGGGCACTCCAAGGGCTTGCTTCTCAGAAGACTAGCAGACTTGGAAATGCTCTTGGTATCATGGGTGTTTCTACTGGTATGGTTGCCACCCTCATGAGCCTTAAAGCTTCACCAGAGTTATATACACAAATGGCTGGAATGATAGGTGTTGGAGGCTTGATTGGGTCAATTATTGCCAAGCGTGTAGCCATCACAGATCTACCTCAGCTAGTTGCTGCTTTCCATAGTTTTGTTGGTTTAGCTGCTGTACTGACATGTGTTTCAACTTACATGAGTGAGGCTTCAGCTTTTGCAGCTGATCCAGCCCATGCTGCCATGACTAAGCTTTTTCTTTTTCTTGGCACGTATATAGGTGGTGTCACTTTTACTGGATCATTAGTAGCCTATGGCAAATTGCAGGGTCTTCTTAAAAGCGACCCCCTCTTGTTGCCTGGCCGTAATCTGTTGAACGCAGGCTTACTTGCTGCAAATGTAGGGGCTCTTGGCTATTACATGACCAATCCAGGTTACTTTGCTGATTTAAGTGCTCTGACAACCACTGGCCTCTTGTCATCTGCAATGGGTGTCACTTTAACTATGGCAATTGGTGGGGCTGACATGCCTGTTGTGATCACTGTTCTTAACAGCTACAGTGGTTGGGCATTGTGTGCTGAAGGTTTCATGTTGAATAACAACCTGATGACAATCGTAGGTGCGTTGATTGGATCTTCTGGTGCCATTCTATCCTACATCATGTGTGTTGCCATGAATCGGTCACTTCCAAATGTTATTTTAGGCGGATATGGTACATCTTCGACTGGAACTGGCAAGCCCATGGAAATTACTGGCACCCACACTGAAGTAGATGTTGCCGGGGCAGTTGACATGATCAATGATGCACAGAGAATCATCATTGTTCCAGGATATGGCTTGTGTGTTGCCAAGGCACAATATCCTATTGCAGATATGGTGAGCCACCTTAAAAGTTTGGGTAAAGAAGTCCGGTTTGGAATTCACCCTGTAGCAGGACGCATGCCTGGGCAACTAAATGTGCTTCTCGCAGAAGCTGGTGTACCATATGATGTTGTTTTAGAAATGGATGAAATCAATGATGACTTTCCAGAAACTGATCTTGTCCTCGTTATTGGCGCAAATGACACGGTTAATTCAGCGGCCGAAGAAGATCCAAACTCCATCATTGCTGGTATGCCAGTCCTGCAGGTCTGGAAATCTAAGCAAGTGGTTGTAATGAAGCGATCACTTGGCGTAGGCTATGCTGCTGTTGATAACCCAATCTTCTACAAGCCAAATAGCTCCATGTTGCTAGGTGATGCTAAGAAAACATGTGACGCTCTACTAAATAAGCTCAAAAGTGATTGAGTAAAAAATACACAATTTATAAAATATTTAAAAATAGAAAAGAGGTCATAGAATTATGAAGGATTGTGTTATATGAATGACCTGATGATATTAGACAGATATTCAACTTTCAGGGGCTATTTTGTGCTTCAAAAAACAATTTAATTTAATCAATAATATGCATTACAGAAATGTTTTCTGTGTGAATGGTTGCTGTGCAAACTTAATGTGACTGAATTCAGATAAATGTTTTTTAATTGTTTTATTTTCTGAAATACTTTATCATGGTAACATTATTAATATTATTGTTTACTTTAGCCATTTCCTGTGATAATTAGCCAATGAATTGAACAGACCAAATTAAAATAAAAAGTATTTTTCTGAGCTTTTAAAGTGCTAAAGAAAGACTACAGTATTAGCATATTTTGCACCCTGATTAACAATTGAATAATCTTTTCACATACTTTAACTGCTAAAATCATGGTCTTCAGATTTAGGTAGCAAATTGAATATTGAAAATTGCATAAAGATGTGAGCATTTATTTACTGATCATTAAAACAAATTTGTGAAAATTTATTGGTGTTTATGATTATTATTGTTTTCCATCGATTTTAGTTAAATGGACATTTCTGAAGTGTCGGTCAAACATATTTGGATCTTATTAATGTGTGTGTGATATACAGTACCACAGAAAACAAAGCTTAAAAACATTGTCTTTGAGTATGTACTTTACATAGGCCTCAAAAACGTTATTTCACAACCACCTCAGCCCCACCATGGCTTGGGCTGAGGTGAGAAAATTTGACAAAACAGTACCTCTCGAGATTGCCGGAAATGACACTTTTATATAGTAAAATTCATCATCACCTCACCATTATAGTCAAAATGAAACGCCAACAAATTTCTCATGATCATTTATCAGGGATCTACTTAATATCCAGGACAACTTAGGCCTAAATATAGCTTACTAAGCTTTAACTATATATACTATATTATGACCAACAAATCACATTTTTTCGCAATTAGCACAATTTTCTTCACTTTTTATGCTATTAATATTATTATCAATTATTACTATCGTCATCATCATCATCATTGTTGTTATTACTATTTGTAGTAGTATTATTAAACAAAAAATTAATGAAACTTGGAAAAGGATAAAAACGAAATTGAACCACAGCATCGCATTTCTATCTTAAAAGACCTGGCCTGAGATTTATGGATTTAAGATTTTTTAAAATCACGGTTAGGACTATGTGTTCTATTAGGCCTATGCATAACGTGTACTGATGCATATTTACATGCTTTAGAAGTATTCATTTTGAGTGATCCCAGGAAAGAATTTCTATTAGCTCAAGAATAAGCTTTAAAATGTTAACACTGTGTACAAAGGGGGGGGGGGGGGGGGGGGGGGGGGGGGAGGAGGAGGGGTTCACGGCTCCCCCACCCCCTGGATACGTCCCAGCTTGCACTAACATAAATCCTTGAATAACTGCCGTTGTGCATTTTTTGGAGTCTTCAGTCAGTTCGGTGCTTATTCAATAAATATGGCATGGAGCTTTCCATGCTCGTTCCATGTTACCTATCTCGCATATTCCTGTAGTTTTGTAGGCCTATCACCCTACATCCTCGTAAATTAACGTTTATCATCATCGTGTTACAGTGTTCATTTGAACAATGTATGCAGTACATCATATTTAAAACCATACATGCATACACTACATCATTTATATAGCGCTATTTCTTGAAGATCATAGTGCTTTTTTGCTTTTTTTTACATTTTTTTACCAATATACCTGTGACAAAATACATCTAACAGAAGAAAACTGGAAAGTGAAAAAAAAAGAAAAGAAAACAACACAGATGAAATCCATCGCCACCACACCGTTCCCCAGCAATTTAAGGCTCAAGACCCGCCAGGACCATGTTTCTCCAAGTGTTTCATTACTTGCAGGGTAATAATTTATGTACAGTATTCTCAATTAGCGCAGCGGTGCTTATTTGAGAGCGGCGCTGAGCAAAAACAATCATGTTTGGTGCGGCACTTATTCAAGGATTTACGGTAACTTGAGAAATGTGAGTGTTACTGAACTTGAAACCCAACTATGTATTACATAGATAATACATTCCTGTTTCATCATACATAAGATAATCTTGGGCTAATGACTAATCAGAAACAAAGTAGGCCTACTGTATAAACCTACTTCAACATAAGATATAATGTAGCTAGCTCCTGACTTGCACCGATATTTAAATTAGAATCGGGTAACCATTACCAGTGATGCTTTTACGCTGGAAAAATGTCAGGTACCAACAATAGGGAAAAAAGAAAGTCTTTTCCTTATGGTTCAGGTCCATGGATCGGCTATGCGAGTGGACGTAATTTACTATATTTTATTTTGCAATTACAGTACTGTATGTTTAACAGAAACAATAGTACAGTAATTTGCTTTGTGCAAGTCCCAAACAATAAGCAAAATAAGTCATTTTTCATGTTATTGAACTGAGGTGCTGATGCAAAAGCATGGAGTTGTTTAAATTGTAAGTAACCTTATATTTGAAAGAGAAAAATATTGTTTAAGTTTTAAAATATACACTTCCATTGTAATTCATAATGAAAATTCTATATTTTCTGACAAAAAACTAAAAATCTTGTTATCGTGGATCCTCCTTTAAAAAAAAAGGGAAACCCGCAAATTTCCGGGAACTTGGGAGGTCTGAGGACATGAAAAAAAACCCAAAAAAACTGTATTTTAAGGGGCGTGGTCACATTTAATACACTCCCCAGTAAGCTTCTGGATCTGCCCCAGTCGTGGGTGGAGGTCAAGTCAAAAAAAGGACGAACATATATAAGTGTATGGTACCAATAGCTTTCGAATACAAGGAATCGATCTTTCAATTGAATCTGTGCTGTCTATGTTAAAAACATCAATAGCGCCCTCTATTTTATAAAATTTGACAGTGAAACTTTCAAACGACTTGCGCCGACGACTTGGTAAAGTTTGAAAGCCCAAAATATAGGTCTACACACACACACACACACCTGTCTCTTATACACATCTAGATGTGTATAAGTATATAAATATATATTATAAACTTCAAAACTGAAATAAACTAAAATACACTTACACAATTTTAACTATTTGTTAACTGTCTGTCTCTTTGAATAAACTAGTCACGCTTTGTAGAAACACATCGAACGATCAGTTGTCATTGATTATGCGATGATAAAGGCACAAAATGTCATCTAGGTGAGAATTTTGAAAAACATTTTATTTACAAAGTTCAACAAAAGTGATGGTCTCACAGTGCACGCACTGTCACAATCTTTTTAAGCAACAAACAGTATGCAATTCCGGTTTAACTTGTAAGGCCAATAATGATTACATAACTCTTTATTCACTTTGTATCAACTACGGGTTTACTTACAGAAGTTTTATCACCGTTCCAAGAATGTAAGGATTAGGTAGGCCTACAGGTATTTTTTCCCCGATTTTGATGAGAATTCTGTTTTCATTGTCATTTCCAATTGAAAACTTGTATATTCTGCCACGCATTAGTACACCACCTGAGTTTTCAACTTCTTCCAACTCTAAAAAAAATATTTAAGACGTTTGCCAACCGAAATCCTTGTAGCAAAATACATTGGTATTATTCAAACGTCCGTTATGGCCGTAGCAAGGTTGCCATTGGGGGTAGGGGTGCGTGCAAACTATGGACCATTTGGGAATGGGGACGTAGAATTCCACTGAGGGGTTAAAGAGGAGCAAGTTGGATCGCAGCTTACGTTAAGAAAAAAAACCCGATATAATAACAGTACTGTTTGGTGCAGAAAACGTGTTTTATTTTTGTAGAACCATACATCAGTATTTACAAGATTATCTTGTAACTAAATAACGTTTAAACGTTGCTACCACTTTCTGTAAGCGTTTATTCTGACATAACCTAACCACAACGTTAGTGAACGTTTTGAGAATTTTTTGTGTTTGCAGTTGTGTACGGATAGGCCTACCAGTAGAAAACTGGTTAAAAAGTAAATATTTAAGATTCGCTTTTAAGTTGTATTAAATGCAAAAATTAAAAAATTTCATATTCAGTACACTTTTGAAATGTTTTTTTTTTCACTTTTAAACGTGTTTTATCATTTTATCTTTTCTCATGTTAATTCCTTTGTTGTTTTAAAATTATATTATTTTCTTCTAAACAACCGATTGAAAGGATGCAAGTCTCATCAAAGATTAGTAAACAAGAGTTGTCTTCAAGTGTTCAAGTGCAGATGTGTAAGAATTGCTAGCTGCTGTATATTCTCGTTCATTAAAAGCCTGTCAATAAATCTCTTGGCGAGATCAGAACCAATCTAAACGTCATGGTTTCGTTCAGTTAAAAATTACGTTTTATATATAGGCCTACTATGTATGGTTCACTAAAAAACACGAAACATAATATTGTAATATAAACTTGTGCTGACTTCGTATTATTACAACAGGCCTGTTTTAAAAGTGGCGTATTTAGATAAATCACACTGAAATAGTTAGTCACCTAAAATTACATTATTTTGTGATCCCCTCACTCATCGACGGCCCACATGATCCTCCCCATTTTAAGACTGCTAGATTCGTCACTGTTTTAATATACGATTCTCTTTATTTATACTTCTTTTAACCAAATATTGATGTGCTTATATTTTCCTGTATAACAACTGATAACATAAAAACCAAAACAACATATATTTCAAATTTTGTGCTTATATCTTCCTGTATAACAACTGATAACATAAAAACCAAAACAACATATATTTCAAATTTTTGCTTTGTCAAAAGAATTTGTATTATTTATTTCTTTTAATACATAAAATAATTTAGTATTATAACTAATTTTTAGCTTAGGTTTGTTGGAATGTGTGTACTATCTTACTGCCTACAAATTGGACATTATACTGCGAACAGAATTCCTTTCTCAGCAAGGGCGGCACCAAGATTACCCTGACGGGGGTCAATGTCTGTAACCGGAGGGGAGGGGGAATGTATGTGTAGTTGGGCGTTACTCAAAATTTCTGAGAAGTGGTCCCATGGAAATTTTAACAAGTATGAGTTTCAAGGCTTATTTCATTGATTTTAGAGTCTATGCTTCTCCCAGACGAGTTGTTTTTACCTCTTCTCTTTGGTTAATATTCTTTTCTTTAAAAACCTCATTATGGTCAAACAATAATGCATTATTCTACATGTTTTCACTATATATTATGAATCATATTATATTGGAACCATAATATATAGCATAGTATTATATGAAAAAGTATTAAAAGTATTGTGCAGAGTGTAGAACAATACACAGTATTATAAAAATAAATAAAAACATATGTTTATAGGGTTTGTTCTTTATTAGTAATAAAAAAATAAAGTTTAACAATGATATATTATAAAAAAAATATTATTATAATTAAAACAATTACTATTATTGAAACAATATACACAAGATAAAAAAAAGCATCAGCTGTTGCAATTTTAGTTTAACATGATGGAATGCTTCACCAGATGGTAGGAGATAAAATGGCTTGCTGTCTGGTGAATGAACACCCTAGGATTTGAACCCCTTATGGTGGTGGAGATTCTGAAACCCAACTCTGTGTCATATGTTAAAACAGATATCCCTCTAATCAAAGAAGGTTTTCACTGTTTGGTCTTTAATTAGAAAAATATTTATAATAAAAGAAAAAAAAAGTAAGCATCTATCCAGGTTCCCAGAAAAGTCATCATTAATTAAAGGTGATCTTTTTTAGGGTGGTCATTAATTATCATTATTGAAAGAAGGGAAGTTCTTTAAGCCCTATACTGATGCATATATACTGCAGTACATTAAATGTTGTTATTCAGCTGCAACTAGTAGAACTATATCAACATTATCGTGAACGCCTTGTAGAAGCAGCTCTCCATCATACTTCACAATCTTCTTCCTCTTAGCAGCTCTCAATGTTCCAACTAAGGCTTCAAATATATTCGCACAACGATCATCACTAAAGAGGACGCCAAACTTGACAGAGATTTTACCATCAGCATCTAATGAAGATATAAAAGAAATATAATAATTAATACAAATGCAAATACAAAATATCTTATGAAAATTATATCTATTACATCTACTTGGTTTCACTGAAAGTAAACAGTTGTTATATGTTATTAAATTACCATTGTGTTAAGTATTATGCTGTCAACAATTAACAACTACATCACAGTTTGAGTGCCACCATTTTAAATGTGCAGTTTTCATTAAATAATTTAATAAACAAAAGTCAATATACTTTGGGTTAAATTGTGAAGAAGTGTTGTTTACTTATTTGTGGAGAAAAAAAGGAAATTATATTCAAATTTAATTCTAGGAGTGCTATTTCTGGGCATCTAGAAGTGCCATAATCGTAATATTTTTTACTTTAGCCCCAACCATGGCGGGCTGAGGTGGTCTGGACCCTCTATTTGTGAATATCCCTCCCCCTCCCTGGGCCCCCTCTATTTTTGATTCGGGGATCCACCACTGATTTTCTAGTTTGAAAATTATTGCACATATAATATTTTAATCAGAGTCAATTAGCATGACCTCAACATATTGCACTGTATTGTAATCAATGAGTGCCTCATGTTTATCAAACTGCTAATCTCCTTTTTCACGGCTGGTAACATTTAGCAAATGAATGAAACCGATGCTGTATAAGTGCAACTAAGTGTAAATTTCGTCACTGCAGATGTTACAGACACAATTAGCATGACACCAATTACAATGTAATAAACCCAACACACTTTCAATGATCAAAAAAAGGTTGACATACGACCACTGATCAATTTAGAAGATCTTCTCATAAGTTCACATCATAATAATATTTCGGCAGTAACTATTATTAAACAATTCAAACATTGCATACACATACAGATACTGGAAAAAATCAAACATTTTTTGCAATACACTTTTTTTTTTTTTAATTTTTTAATTAAAACACATTTTATAAGAACATTGAGGCTGAAATTGCTTAAAAATTAAAAACATCATAAGAACAAAAATTGAGACCGAGGTAAAATGTCAATTTAAACATTTCTTTTTTAGAATCCAACTTTATATGGCATCTTTCACATTCCGGAGATAAACCAAGGTGCTGGCATCAGTATTTACCTGGTCACTGGATACTTAGTTAGCAAACCAGCACATTTTTTTGCAACTTTCTTTGCTCCCTGAGGAGTATCCCTAGTCATGCTGCTTTACACACACACAACCACATACATTCAATGCCACACCATCCTACAAGGTACCCATATACTCCTGGGTGGAGAGAGGCAAACATAAGTAAAGTACCTTGCCCAAGGACACAAGCAAGGTTACAATCATCAGTTTTGAACTCCTAATCAGAAGTTCATAAGGTTTTTATTTTAAAAAAATAAAACAGAAAAACCAACCATTCTTATCTGTACCTTGTGCAGGTGTGATTATGTAATACCCTCCATAAACAGTACAGTAATATACTGCTGTACAATAAATTTTATGTTTAAAAAGTGTGTAAAATAAGAACAAAATAAGAGCATTTGAGCCTAATCAGCATAAAAAAAAGAAAAAAAAAACACTGAATCTGGGCAAAATTACTGGTTCTTATACAAAAAAAAGTGTACAAGTTTCTTTCAATCTTCCTTTTAAATCTATTTTAATTTGTAGTTACTGTAAGTTATCCATCTTTTTTGGTTACCATGTGTACATATATGGTTTTAAAATTTTGTAGTTAAGAACTGAACCACTTTGGAAACCAGTACTATGTATTGAAAGTGTATATTCAGTATAAAGAAAGAATAAATAAAATAAAATAATATAAACATTAGTACTAAAATGCTCTCCTTTCTTTTTTGCTGTCACTTACTTGGACTGCCCAGTCTTTGCATTTCTGTCTTCAAGAGTTCAATTTCATGTTCCACATTCATGGTCACTTAAAAGAAGCTTGCGTTGTGATTTCTATGAAAATGAATTTGTTTGCATTTAATATCGTACAAAAAAATTCTCTATGGAATCATTTCAGCCCATGACTATCAGCAGCAGTGAGTACCCAGCTGATGTTACAGCCTTTACAAACACAAACACAATCAGTGCCTTATCTATGGCGTCCATGGCGTCGATCGGTGCGGGACAGAGGGACACGTCCCCCACTTTTCACCAATCTTCTATAATTAAAACCCCACTTTTAAAAGCGAATGTACAGAATAAAAATCACACATGACTCATGAATTTTGTCTGTTCAGTTTTCCAAGTGCGGTACATATTTTGCGGACCAAAGCCGAGTAAAAACGCAATTGTGTATACATTTCGTAACCATCTCAGAAACCACTAGATCGATTTTATGGGTGCAGCAGTTATCAGACGCTAAATTTATTGTGAAAACAATGTACTAAACGTTGTTAAAATTGGAAGCGTGTATGCTTATTAGGACAATATTTTCACAAACTCAAAAGTGCACAATTTTAAACAATTTATTCCTTTTGTATACCCGTACATATGTGTTTAATATTATTTACATACATATGATTACTGTTTTTCCCTTATTAAAAAAAAAATATAGTTAACTAATTGAATTTTATATAGCCATAATAATTTTACAGCCTTTGACACGGACATGTCCATCTATTTTGATTTAGTGATACCAAAATTTTACTCCAGTGTTACGTTGACGCAATCTCGCAATGACTTCATAATAATCAGTGGAAAAAAAGGAAAATTAGAATTAGAATTTAGGTCTGAGAGTGCCATTTCCGGCAATCTAGAGGTGTTATAATCATAAATTAATATTATTAATAATAAATCATTATTTTTATGAATGTTTTTGCACAAAATATATAAGCGGGCATAATTATGACTAAAAGGATAATTTTAATAACTTTTATGAAGAGTATTTCAGTCGGCCCAGCCGGCTCACCATCCCTAAGTTTTTTTTCGAATTTTAAAAGTGGAGAAAAATGAAAATTATATTCAAATTAAGTCTGAGAGTGCCATTTCTGACCAACTAGAGGTGCCATAATCATAAATTTTCTTACTTCAGCCCCAACCATGGTGGGGCTGAGGTGATCTACACTCTTCGTCTGTAAAGGTCCCTCTCCAGACCCAGCTCTATTTAAATTACTGGATCCGCCACTGGATATTTGAAAATTCCATATGGAAATAAATGTTAATTGCATTGCTTAAAATCAATTAAAACGCTATAGACGCAAGAGCTTTCGGGTGCTTCGCCCCCTGGTCCAAAACCAAGGCTTGGGCCTATGGCCCAAAGCTTTATTTTTCATTTCGTCCCCCTCACTTTTAACCACGGATCGACGCCCTTGATGGCATCCACCGGAGCCCTTCCTCAACACCACCACCCACCCCCCAAAAAAAAGAAGAAAAGGAAAAGCTGGTTCGCTCAGTCACACCAAATATAAAAAAACAGAAAAAAACGCTCAAGTAGTTAAAAATCACCTGATAACACCACATTAAAAGCTAGTGGCCTGGTCACATAGTATGCCACTAAATCAACTAAATAAGGGTTCAATGTCACTGACACTGTACCAGATTATGTTTAAAAAAAAAGACCTTTGGCGTAGGACAATCTCTTGCAGCACCAATGGCAACCAACTTGCACAGACCATGGAGGAAGACAAAGTCATATGAGTCTACCCACCTACATTACTTAGTAGTACTAAGTAGCAGCAGGTAGCGGGTAGCCTAGAGTACTAGTACTACTAGTAGTAAAGTAGTAGTGGGACAGTACGGTACTGTATTATAAAAAATAATTGTACAGATACCATTATTAGAGGCAGGCCATTTTTTAATGATCTACGACTAAGTTTAGACCGATTAATTAACTTACCTCTATAGATGGGCACTAAAAAAGACAGCTCACAAATTGTTCATTAGCAAAATGAATTTTAGATTTGGCCGCCGGTGCAGTGCTGAGAAACTTATTACACGAACTTCCGGGTTTGCGATTGGTGTCAAGTATGAAAGGGCAAAATTAGACTGAGCATGCGCAACTGAACCATTCAGAGACACCACCGAGCCGAGCGTTTGTTGTGTTGTGTTTAGGCCTAAAGATAAGTAAGACGTTCTTGTGTTGGTATTTGAATGTACTGAGTCAACTATTTCGTTGTCTGTTGGAAAATATGCGTTTGAGAGAATAGCTAATGGAACATTTTATCAACCATGAATACTCATAATTGGGATTTACGAAATGCTTGTGCTATTCGCGACGAGATTCAGAGATTTGAAAGCGTGCATCCACACATCTATGCCATCTACGATATTTTGGAACAGATCGAAGACCCGCTGCTCCAAGAACAGTTACGGGAACATGTTGTTTCTATTGAAGGTAAGGAGATGCTATTTTTACATGAGGGAGGGGCTAGTTGTGCGATGCTCTTTTAAATTTGGTATTCGGCATAACCAGCGTATATAATCGACTAAAAATCAATCATGATTATTGACGTTATTATTCCGTTTGTTAAATAAGTGTCAAATAGCAGGGGTTTTTTTTTTTTTTTTTTTAAATCGGGATTAGTAGGCTACATACACGCAGCAGGGGGAAAAAGGGGCGTAACTGCCCATTTTTACACCTTATTCCCCCAGTTTTTAAATATTCAAAAATCTGTATCTCATTCACCGTTCCCCAGTTTTTCGTCAAACATCTTTTTTCTGTCTTAGAAAAATCAGTTTTACAACATATCAAAAAATTTTTTTCCTCCGGAGCCTGACTTTAATAGTAATGACCTGATTAAATGTAGGGCCTTTGCTAAAACCAAACAAAATGCATAAAGTACAGTAGCATTTATTTCACTGCTTGTTTTACAATGAATAAAAACAAAGAATACTTAACATATGGCATAAATAAACTAATAGAAAACATATATGTGCAGTACAAGTTTACTAGTGAAAGTAAAACTATTGTTAAATATTATGATAGTAATGAGTAGGTCCGACTGTCATCTTTGCAGTTTAATGTATGAGAGAGTTGATATGCATTTAAAACTCCATTTTTATGTTTCCAAATATTTTTTAAATTCATGCATCCCAGAAATTGATTGCAGTGATGTTTGTTATGTTCCTAATGACACTCAAAAAAATAATCACATGTTTGGTACAGTAGGCCCTACTGTATGAAACCTCAGCTTTCCTGTCTGGTGTTAACATTTTTATCTACTCTGTGTGCTGATCTTAATTTCTAGACCATGACCAACACATACTGTAAGCCTATACTTGTTTATAAACTACCAAAATTATACAAAACCTGTATTTTATAGTATTGTACAGTATTAGACCTACAGTTATACTTATGTGTAGAATCAGGCCTAGCCTGCCTGACTAAATATAAATTAATTGTTTATTGGATGCATGCTTTAGCATTGTGCTCTGTACTCTAGTGGAAGTTAAACTTGCTGAATCTGAATTTCAAATGAAATTTTGGTGCACAACCAAAACCGATTGTGGGCCATTCCATTTTGGCATGTTAAAGCAGGTATTATTACTTATGTTAAAGATGACTATATTACATGGTGAATCTTAAGTGAAGTCATTTCAGTCTGAAACTATAGTTATTTTAATGTGTTCTAGTCTAACAATTGCAGCCATTTTATGAGAACATAAAATGTGGCCAAACTTTTTTGGTTATTTGATTGTAGTCATGCCGCACAGTTTGGACATTTGAAAGCTGAATTTGTGTTTCTGGGAAAGGTAAAATAATTTAATTAATATAATGATGTGCCAGAAGACAAAGTAAATGAAAGATTTGTAGAGAATAATTAGCAATCCATGTTGGGAGACACAGTATGATGCTTGTGTTTATCTCATTATTAAATAAATTATAATTTAAAAAAGAAGATATTTTGATTCTGACATATTATTTTAAAAATATTATTATCTGACTTCTGTGTTTCCTCATTGTGAACACTGTACAGTACTATACTACAGTTACCAGCAAGAAGTTATAATTGATATTAATTTATGCATTTTTCACTTCTGTGGCCGATAATATTCAGGATTTCATAACTTAGCTTAAGAACCCTCTTAAGTAGATCAGGTCACTATTTAACATCACTCACAAATTGAATGCAATGGTGATTAATGACTGTCACTATCCACCACTTCGCAGTCATCTTCATGATACCGTTTCTGTACAGTATTAAACATAAATTCTTGGTGTGGCTATTCCATGCAGTCTTGCATTGTCTTTTAAGTTATTATTATTTATTTTTGTTAAAATATTAAATAAAAAGTAATTGTTATTTTTCATTTTAATTATTATATTTTTTTTAGCTGAGAATGATAAATAACCAATATTTAATATTTTTTACTGTTGTGTATCATTTGCATTATATTTTATCTGTTTTTTTAAAGTATCATTTTTGGTTTTGTTTTAACTATGGTAAGTATTATTATTATTATTATTAATGTTATTAGGTTATTAGTATTAGGCCTATTCTTACTGCAAAACCATTACCCAGGATGGCAGGATGTTTAATATTGTTATATTATGTTTTCTGTTGGCTATCTATACTGTAGCTGGGAACTTGATGGGATAACAAAAGATTGCTTTGAACTTCTGTTATTACTTTGATGTTTATTTATTTTTTTAAATTGTATTGTTTGTAGTGTGCTATTGAGTTGTTGATGTGTAACTGTCTAAACTTAAATTTCTCTATCAACATACAGTATACTGTAAGTTAAAACACCAATAAGTGTCTCATTATCTTACTATATCATTTTGGGTCAGTTGGGGGTAAAAAAGTATGGCTCACAAAACATTAAAAAAAGTCTTGAAATTGTTACACTTTTGGAATATTTATTTAGTGAATTTATTAACATGGTTGAAAGGGTTATCAGGTGTGACCAGATGGTTTGTAATTTATTTAACTGTACTTCCATCAAATGTGTACAAATATCCTGAACACCTTTTGGCAGTAGTTGTACTGTAATACTAATTTCCCTCACCTTGTTCGTGAAGAGATGACCAATTGTTGATTTTATATTACACTATTATTAAAAACCATATTTTACCGAGTACCTGTACAGAATAAGACCATGCTAGACTACACAGCCCGAGTATGCTATACAGTAATACAGTAAATTTCAAGTGCTAGCGTTCGTCTCAATATAAGCCCAGGTTATTGCAACAAATCATAAGAATGCAATTTGACTTAATTCGATGCCCTCCCGAAATAGCAGGCTAGTGTTGAAGTTAGCATTGAGGTTAAGAATCCTTTGATGTACTGTACAGTAATGTGTATGGTTCTCAGATGTTTTGAATCATTTGGTTGGCTTTACCTACCAATACAAAGGCAGAACATTTTGAAAAAATTTAGTGTTGGTTTGCATTACCTACAGTAAAGCTTTCATCTCAGCTAAAATGTGCTTGAACTATCAAGAATATTCTTTGCCTACTACTCTACATACTGTATTAAGGGAGGTAAGCCTAGTGTAAGTAAGTCAATACACTGTATAGTTACAGTAGTTCACCCAACCACTTTTTTTGTCAAAAAGCTTGACGTTCTAAAAAGATTGATACCAGCCAGCACAACTGAAATGATAATCAGCCATGTACCTGTAACGTCAGTGATGAAAATAATGCTGATTCAATCAATTTTTTCAATGTTTTTATAGAAAATTTAAAGTGTCTGTAGTATTGTCCGATTATACTGCATTGCCTATCCCCTAATTTAAAGTTTTTTAGTCTGTGTACTGTACCATTGTCTGCATTACTGCAGACCACATCATTATTGGATTCAGTGACTTTGAATTGAACATCTTATTAATTTCTTCAAAATAATTTCATATGGTTTTCAAAAAATGCAGTATAAAGTATTTTAGTTATAATTCAATTAGTTTTTTTAACCAACTGTTGTAAATGTTGGCCAATTGTTGAGTTTTCAAATGAAAACAGACCGCATATAGTCACCAAATATGATGTCATCACATTTTCACCGAGTGGGTATTAAAATTGTTTACCTCGCCAAAATCCTGCTGAAGCATAGAGTGGAGTCGAAAGTGGTGTACATTAAATCATCTAAAATGTAATGAAGGTAGCACAGACGATGCTTTTTATAACAACGTACATTTTGAATGATTCATAGATTTATTGCATGAGGCTAAGATTGATTTGATTTATATTTCCATTTAGACTATAAGTGTGAAGAGTTTTTGGGAGGCCCTCTAGGGGTAGGGGACCTAGGCCAATTGCTCGCGTGACTTGGCACATCCAGCACTGACTAGGTGATTGCTGTTGATGTACTGTAGAGGTATACATTGAGCAGAAATACTATCACCAAATCATTTTGTTGCAATTTTGGTATGAAATATTTAAGCTATTGGATGAACTTAAATTGCTGAAAATTTGTAGAATCAGATGTTTCTTGTATCTACTGTACGATGGCCAATGAGTCAGCAGAAGAACGTTGTTTGTATGACTGTCTAGTCTACTGTAGGGCTAGGCCTGTGTTCAAGCGACGAGGCTATACAAACATGTTCAAGTTTTCCATCAGTTTATTTCACTCCATTTCAAAGCTAACGTTTCAAAATTCTGACGTTTATTAAAGAAATATTTACCAAGGCTTTTCGATAAGTTATTTTACGATAATATGTAAAAATAAATAAGTTGAAAAGTTTTTAAAACTGTCGAAATTTATTCGAGCGGAGACTTAGTATTGTGTGAAAAACTGCCACCTAACGGTTTGTTTTGATACAGTATTGTGTACTGCACCCACTATAACCGCATTGTGTTGGTAACTAATTCGGTCTATTACAGTGTAGTCTAAAAGAGCTAATGCATTAATATTATACATAAAAACTTAATGAGTAAATTCAAGTTTTATGATTTCTTTACTTGTGTAATTGTGCAATTTAGATGACTATTAATTAAATAATTTTGTTAGAAATTGGTTGGTAATATTTTCTTGGGGACAAAAGACATCAAGGCACGTATGTACACTGCCAACATTTGCAATCTGCAGTAAATCTGTGGGAGTTATGATGTAATT